AAACTCCATAGCGTGAAAGAAAACGGTAAAAATACAGTTTTTTCACAGACATAAATGTCGAATCATGATTTTTTCTGAAAACAACCTTCAAGGTAATTTATTTACTGCCAACCTATATAATTGTTGCTGCTAAAACGGGAGTTAACCTTGATTGAAGTTTAAAATCATAAAAGTGCCGATTTCTCGGTGTTCGATTTCTGGCAATTGCCGTTGACCTAATTTTAAATGGCGTTTCAGTGAGTAGCGCTACGATGTCGCCGTTTGGCTTTCCGTACTCTCGAATATGTTGGCTTCGTATCCGTATTTACATTTTTGCGAAATTCTATCGCGTATTTTCACAAACCTCGCGCAAACCACCGGTATACACTAACTTCAACACCAAAAAACGTGCTTGAAATTTTCCATTTTCGGATAGGAAAAAAAAAATTAATTTAGAAAATAGAAATACGGATTTAAACTTCATGACCTTTGCTTCAAAACAGTGTAAAATTTTTGGCCGCATGCATGACCGTAGAGCTGACATTTAAAAATGTATTCACGTTAGTTAATTATCAGCCGCGCCGATTTTCAGAATCACGTGACGCTAAAACAAACAGTGTTCACAAAATATTAATAATAGAAAAGTACAAGTCAAGGGCTTTCCAAACATATATAGATTGTATAGGTTCTTGTAAAATTTACTCCGATTATAGATGTTTACATTTTCCATGCCAAAAAACTATCTCGCTACCTTAATGGGCATTTTGTTTTTTGTCTGGACCCATGTGCTTCAAACTTGGATAGTTTTTGAACACTATTTTGTTTTGCAATTCCATCAAGAATGACTTGTGGCCATTTTTGTGTTGAGAATAATCAAAATTTCTTATGAACACAACAAAGATAAAATTATTTTAGTGAACATGGAATAGTTATATTGTTGTAAAAATCCAAAGAGAGTAAAAACAGACATCTCAATATAATTTGGAACCCTCTAATGAAAAGGCATTTTGTTCAGATGTCACAAAACATGTCCACACTATGTTGAAGTTGGATAACAATTGAGAACACTTTGTCTAGCTAATCTAGTAGTAGAATTGAGGCACTATATTGTAATTCACATCTCAAATATACAAAGTGTATGAAAGGCTCATAGGGACAAGACTTATAACAAACATTGTATTGTTTTTGTAGAATCTAACAATAAAAGTGCAGTATGTAAATTCTTTTACAATGGATATGTATGTTATCGAGGAGAAGCATGCCCATATGAGCATAGTTTACCAGGTGAGTCTTATTATGTGGCTATAATGTGCCAGTTGTGTAATCGCCAATAATGACAGTAAAGTAATGGCCAATAGTGCTAGTTATATAATGGCCAATGGTGCCATTTGTATTATGGTCAATGGTGCCATTTGCATAATTGTCAATGGCGCCGTTTGTATAATGTCCAGTGGCGCCGTTTGTATAATGTCCAGTGGCGCCGTTTGTATAATGTCCAGTGGCGCCGTTTGTATAATGTCCAGTGGCGCCGTTTGTATAATGTCCAGTGGCGCCGTTTGTATAATGTCCAGTGGTGCCGTTTGTATAATGTCCAGTGGTGCCGTTTGTATAATGTCCAGTGGTGCCGTTTGTATAATGTCCAGTGGCGTCGTTTGTATAATGGCCAGTGGCATCGTTTGTATAATGGCCAGTGGTGCAGTTTGTATAATGTCCAGTGGTGCAGTTTGTATAATGTCCAGTGGTGTCGTTTGTATAATGTCCGGTGGTGCCGTTTGTATAATGTCCAGTGGTGCCATTTGTATAATGTCCAGCGGCACCGTTTGTATAATGGCCAGTGGCGCAAGTTGTATAATGTCCAGTGGCACCGTTTGTATAATGTCCAGCGGCACCGTTTGTATAATGTCCAGCGGCACCGTTTGTATAATGTCCAGCGGCACCGTTTGTATAATGTCCAGCGGCACAGTTTGTATATTGGCCAGTTGCGCAAGTTGTATAATGGCCAGTGACTTGTGTATTGAGTTGCATCTGTGTGTTTATCTTTTTGTTCAAAGTTGGTACTAAGTCATAATGCATGTCAACTGATGGACATTTTATGACTGACTGGTGGTCTTTTTAGTCTGAAGTCCGAAAATGGGGACTTATTCGGTCTCCGTCCGTCTGTGTGTCCGTCTGGAGTCGTATCTCAGAATCCCATTGTCCGATTCCGTTCATTCTTTGCATGTGCCTAGTACTTTATGTTGGACATATGCACATGCAGTGGTCTAGCGATTTGATTCAAAATGGTAGCCATCTTGTTTTTTGAAAATGTTGTATTTTGAAAATGTTGTATTTTGGACATGCTTTGTCAGTTTTCATTCAAACTTGGTACATAGATTATACATGTTAGGATACATGTCCATGACGATTTATTTCACAATTGGATCAAAGATGGCCGACTGGCAGCCATCTTGTTTTTTGAAAATGTCGCATTTTGGACATGCTTTGTCAGTTTTCATTCAAATTTAGTACATAGATCATACATGATACATGTCCCCGACCGTTCGTGAGTTCCTGTGTCTGTCCGTCCGTCCCTGCGTCAATCTGTCCAGAGTCGTATTTCAGAATCCTGTGGACCGATTCCGTTCATTCTTTGCATGTGCTTTTAGTACCTTATGTGGGACATATGCACATGCAGTGGCTTAGCGATTCGATTCAAAATGGCCGACTGGCAGCCATCTTGTTTTTTTTAAATGTTGTATTTTGGACATGCTTTGTCAGTTTTTATTTAAATTTGGCACATACATGTACTTTATACATGTTAAGATGCATGTCCATGACAATTTGTTTCAAAATCTGGTCAAGGATGGCCGATTGACAGCAATCTGACTTTTTGGCCTTACTACTATATTTCCACAATTTATGTACCATTTTCATTTGTATTTGCCACATACATCATACATATCAGTGTGTTTCATAATCAGATCAAAGATGGCCGAATAACGGCTGTTTTTATTTTTGGCCATATTACTACTACACGGAACACATGTTTTGATGTAAATAAACAATCTGTTGTATACGCCTCTTGGAACTCAAGTTTCAAGGACACGCTCGCGACAACCCCTCCGCTTTAATATGACAGGCACAAAGAGAACTTTCAAAAATTTAACAGGGACTGTGTCATTTCCAATGACTTGTTTTAAAGGCAAAATGTTGTGCTAATTCAGTTGCCCTGAAGGCAATGCCTGTAGAGTCATTATTCTAGTGATGTAGCACCATGTCCAATTATGGGCACTAGTATATCAATTAGTGAGTACTATTTTTAGTCCCTGTTCGAACAAAGTTCGAAAATGGGACTTATAATTCGGTCTTTGTCCGTCCAGAGTAATATTTCGGAATCCTTTGGACAAATTCCGTTCATTCTTTGCATGTGTCTAGTACTTTATGTGGGACATATGCACATGCAGTGGTTTCGCGATTCAAATCAAAATGGCAAACTGGCAGCCATATAGTTTTTTGAAAATGTCATATTTTAGACATGCTTTGTCAGTTTTCATTCAAATATGACACATACTTTATACATGCTAGGATACTTGTCCATGACAATTTGCTTCAAAATCGAATCAAGGATGGCTGATTGACAGCCATCTGTCTTTTTGGCCATTCTATATTTCCAAGATTTATGTACCATTTTCATTCGTATTTGGCACATACATCATACATGTCAGTTTGTTTCATAATCAGATCAAAGATGGCCGAATAATATACGGCTGTTTTTACTTTTGGCCATATTACTATATCTCTGTCACCCATGTATCATTTTCATTGATATTTAGCATGTCATATATGGATACATGTACATGTCAATTCAATTTGCAATTTGATCAAATATGGCCGACTGGTGGCCATCTTGTTTGTTTAAAATGTGATAGCTTGGACATGCTTAGACATTTTTGAATCGGGGCTATGCCTAGCTAACTCTATTTTTAGCTGATATTTATTAAAACTGCTAATTTGAGCACACTGCCTTCACCATATTATTCAACACAAGAGGGCACTTGACTTGTAGATAGGATTTATAGTCACTTTAGTCCAGAACTAACAATACAATTACAAAGAGTTGCAATTCCTGTATTCCCTATCCCAGAATCTCAAATTCGGTCATTACACACATGTTAACATTGTATAAAGCCCCATGTAAAGATTTATTGGAGGGCACCATGGCAACAAGCATTCATATTCATGAGATGTATGGTAATGCAATTTTAGTGCCTCATTCCCATCCTCAGACTCAATTTTCTCAAACATACTTTAAAAAAATGTTAGCAAGTGCAATAACACATGCACCTCAATTTGTTTTACTTTTACTAGTGATCTATGTTTTTCTTTGCTATGTCTTAAACCGGAAGGGTCGTCACGCAACATGTGTTCGAATTTGATGTAAATATAAAACAATCTGTCTTGTATGCCACTTGGGACTCAAGTTTCAAGGGCTCGCGACAACCCCTCCGCTCTAATTTAACGGGGACTGTATCATTTTCAATGACTTGTTGTATACTGTTTAATTCGCTAAAATTAAAACTTAATTTTTTTTTATATTATGTGATCAGGAGAGTCATCTGAAGACCGCTTAGCTGTACTTCGTTCATCTAGCACTGTAGTATTACCTAAAGATGACAGTTGGGTTCATGTAGAAATTACTGCTATCCATGATCCTTTACATTTCTGGGTTCAACTGCCATATGGTAACAAGTCATTAGATCAGATAAAACATGAAGCTGAAGAAGGTAATTTTATAAGAACTTTGACCTAGTATAAAATTTAAAGCGAGGGAGTAGTCACCTGTGCATGCGTCAGATTGCCATAGCGTGTCATTGTTTACAAACCAGCGTCTACCTAAGAGCCTTTGCGTTTTTCGTGTGTGTTGTTATCATCGCTTGGGACTCAATTCCCATGCGTGCGCAGGTGACGACTTCCCGCTTTAATGTAATCTATTTAAATAACACGGTAAATGCTTTGATACTTGACCTTTGTCAGATTTGTTCATTTTGTGGAGATATCATAGAGGTAGCAAGAAGGAAAATAATTCTTTCAGTGCAACGAGTTTCAAATTGACACCAATGACTTACAAGACAATAGGATGTGAATGTAACTGGGTTTTAATAATGCATGGCAAAGGTGAAGTACTGGTCGGGAAAACACCTTCCTGTAATTATTTAAAAAAACAGGTACTTAAAATGGTTGACACATTTACCTGTATTTGCTAACACTGAACATATTCTGTAAACAAAAGACGGCTTCACTACAATGTGGCATCACCTTCACTTCTGCATAGCTTTGCGTCATCTACACATCATCTTCAAATAAGCTTCGCCTCATTTCTCCAAGTGCAACTAAATTATGATCTGCTTCAAAATTGTTTCATAAACAATAACAAATTTAGTACAGTACAGTTTTTCCCGTACTGTTTTTGTGTACACTTTAGAACATAGAGTGAAATAAAAGAATGTGAAATTAAATAAATCTAACTCCACAACCCTATATATTTGTGTGTGCGAGTTCTGACATTGTATGTGTAGTTACCAAGTGAAATATCCATGCCACCAACTGCACTAGATCAGTTCATTGCTAAAACGAAAACTGACTTGACGGTGATGGTCGGCGTGAAATTGATGCATGGTGGACTTGAACTATCCATTTCTTACCTTACTAGTAAAATTTAAAAATAAATAATCAAAAGGCATGAAGAAATACAATAACAAATATTATTACATATGTACTGCAGTTTATTTTGATTCGTCCCTGAAATCAAATTCGGTATTTCCACACCTCATATGCAAATGAGGTCTGAGAGCAAACAAAGTAGTCCCTTCAGAAGTACCGTTTTTCGAAACATGGCAGAAATAAACAATATTAAGAAGTACGATATTTTTCTCTTGGGGTACATGAATATACTTGCCGAGTGAAATGAAATTTGAACAACAGTAATGGTACCTTTAGCCAGTCACTTATTTTAACAAAAACTAATTTGCATATCACCCATGCAATAATGTTTTTGGTATTTCCACGGTCATAATATGCAAATGAACATGGTATTTCCATCGGCTACCGAACTATTTTTATTTTGTAAACACATTTTCGTCTGCTATTTTTGTCCGGTTCAAATCGTCAGGCAACATTTTTGGCGTGTTAGGTGTACATCACATGGAGCACTACGATTGAGAGAACTTGATGTACGTTGAAACTAAGTTTTATAAACCTTGAAGGGCTCTAGGAAGATCCACCAGCAGTGAAATCAGCGTTTACTATGCAGCCGCAACCGCAACCATCAGCATCGAGATACCAGGTTTCTGCTGGTGACGTTGCACGGCATGTTTGCCAATGCACAATTCTGTGACGGAACTTTTAACTTCAACATAAACTTTGTATCATAGTTGTCTAGTTCAAGTTCTGGTTCTGTCGTGGTCCCAACTAAACGTCAACAAATTATTCATTCGGACAGTGACTCAGATTAGACGTCTGATTATTTTAATTTCAAACAAACAGTGACACTCGTTCTCTGGGCGCGTTCTACACTGACACGCGCTGCTAGGGCGTAACATATTAATGGGCAATGGGGTTCCCCGACCTAAATTCCATCCCGGTTTGTTGCAAGTTCTTTCTTTAATATGAAATAATCAAATATGGAACATATGTAATAATAACAGAACCCCACACCCTGCCCGTGGCTTTCGTTGCGTATGGAAGTTATTTTCACTTGAGATGCGGTGTGGGGTTCTGTCATATTATTGCCAATCGTAAACTTTATTCCAGTCAAAACTGTAAGATGTTTGAGGTATTCCATCATTTATTGGCGACTTCAGTGATAAAAAGAAAGAATGTATTTTTTTTCGGCATGCGGAGCTATGAGTAGCTGTAATATAGCTATATATGGTGCTGTAATCCAGCAATAAGCTTCAACAACTAGTATTACATTGTAGGTGCAAATCAACAGTTGGACCTGCATTTAAAAACAACCCCTTGCATTTTCAGGCACATCGTGACAATTTATTTGATCAACTTGTTGCAAAATAAGTTAAACAATAATTTTGTAATTGCTAGAAATGTATGTGAACCGTAGAAATTTTAGCAATGAGCCCAAAATTATATTTATCGCTGACCACGTTATCAACTATATTTTTCTGAGGTTGAAAAAATGTTTATACATAATGTAAAAAAAAATTATCTTGGTTTTATTTTCCAAGTGCTCATGTTCGTTATTTTCATGTACAAGTTCATATTCATACATGTAGATGTGTAATCAAGCTCAAATAATAATACTGTAAAATAATTTATTTTAGCTGGAATTAATTTTCGCTGAAAAGTCTTTTTGGGTATTTTGTATGGAATTTATTTTCACTGATTATTGGTGAGTTGAATGTAAAATATATGAAAAAAAAGTTATATTCGCTGGATTTTATTTTCACTTAATCATACCTTCAGCGAAAATAGTGGAAATAAATGTCAAGTGAAAATAAAGTACACCTTTACAGTACACCATTTCTGCTACCCTAATTTTTAGCTCCCGTGAAACTGAGCTTATGTGGTACCGGTGTCTGTGACTAAAATTTGTTTCACCGATAACTCAAGAGTTTGTGCATCATATTCATCAATAGACAAAATCGAAGACAGATGTCGTACAACTTTCTGCCAATATTGATTCGTAAATGTGCCGGTTACATGTACAGTGTTCTCCTCGGGCCTGCGTCGCTTAGACAATAGCCGCGTAACTTTCGTTTCGCCCGTGATTCTGCATTGTTCTCATTAGGTCTTTTAAGGGTATCGGGTCCGATACTGTTCTTTCTTTCCACTATACTGTTTCCCTCAAGCTGGGCTGTTTCCAGGCCATTGTTTTGCAATGATGAATCAGAACAGAACAATTTGTGTGAACTGATCAATCCTAACTTATTATCTGGATACTCGTATTCACCTGCGGATACTTCGGCCTACTTTCAAGCATGAATATAGAAGGAAATCAACGATTTTTTTTCAGTATCGTTCCAGACTTTGCAAGAAATTTATATAATAATCACAGTGATCA